AAATTGGAAAATCAAATCACTAATGCTGAAGAACAACAAGGTTTTACAAAAGGGCGGTCTATAACAGACGCAGTATTTATAATAAAACAAATAAAAGAAAAAGCTATAGAGTTCGGCATGCCAGCGTATATTTGCTTCATTGATTTGACGAAGGCATTTGACAGAGTTCGCCTGGGAGACATTCTAAATATATTAATAGAAAATGAAACACCGACCAGTATAACAAAGATACTCCATAACCTAAATAACAACAACGTAACGAAAGTTAGAGCAGGAGACGAATTCACTGAAAATATTCCAACACGGATATAGAATGGGCAACAAAAGAATTGGTATGGTGTGTTACGCAGACGATGCAGCAATTATTACCGAATCAGAAGATGATCTCCAAAGGCAGCTCTTTCAGTTTTTTCAAACAAGCCGACTACTAAATATGAACATCTCTACCAACAAAACTAAATGTATGACAATAGCAAAAGATCCGCTCAGATGTAAGTTAGTGGTTGAGGACAACCCCATAGAACAGGTGATGCAATTCAGATATCTGGGCATAGATATATCAAGCACCCACGACCCAGTAAAAGACCTGAGGAGTCAGATCAACAAAGCATCTGCACTGTCAGGATGTCTGCGGGAGAGAGTCTGGTCAAATCCGTATATGCGCACAGATAGTAAAATTAGAATCTATAAGACTTGCATACGACCGATCATGACATATGGCATAGAAGTGCGCGAAGATACCAACAAAACAAAACAGATGCTAAGGGTTGCCGAAATGAAAACCTTAAGAACAATAATGTGGTACAACCATGTAAGACGAATGGATGAGAATAGACTCCCAAAAATTGCCCTAGAAAACAATCCGCCCGGTTCAAGACCCCCCGGAAGACCACCTAAAAGATGGAGGGATAGTTGGCAATCTACCTTCCAAGAAATTAACCAGAGGCAGCTTCAGAATTAAACAGATCGAAAGATCTACAAAAAGTAGAAGAAGAAGGTATGAAGATGATACCGTTCTAATAGCTGAAAAAATTGAAGATTAAGAAAATATACTAGACAGAGTTAACGATGCAAGTGAAGCAATGGGACTGACAATAAATCTTCATAAAACTAAAGTAATGCTGATTAGCAAAATCGATGAAAATTGTCGCATTGCACAATGCAATCATACCCAGGGATTAGAGACAATCAGATTTCGGCTCAATCATGCCCTTAGCTTAACGTACCTCAGCTAAAATCGGCGCAATCGTCCCATACCCAATAGAACAGGCTAGGAACATGTACAATAAATGGAAGCAAATTATTTATAACAAAAAAAAACTAAGCTTAGATGTCCGAATTAGAGTTATTAAATGCTACTTTTGGTTAGTCATTCTGTATGGAGTTAAAGCATGGACATTCAAAGTAAAAGCATGAGACGATTAGAAGCCTTTAAAATGTGGCTCTATCGCAGAATGCTCTACTACTAATTTTTAAAAAGTCAGTTTTGTAGAAAAAAACAATAAGAATTCGAAAAAATGTGGCTTTCACCTTTATTACAAAAAAAAAATATTAGGTAATATAATAAGTTGTAAGGTATCTTATCATAACATTAGAAGTTATATACAGTACTTAACATGAAAAACGCAATACACAAATTGCAATTCTATTTTTAGAATTGTTTTAAAATCACTTTAATTTTCATCCCCCAGATCGCTAAAGTCATCCAAATGTTCTGTCTCATTATATATATTATCATTATCTGTTCCCATATTTGCAACAATACCAATCTCTCTGCAGTAATTATGGAAAATAGGTGGTATACAGCGAAGAAGCATCGAAATATTAGATATTATTTTCTGGATTTAATGGAATGGGTGCATCATATTTAATTTTCAAATATTGATTTTAAGACTGCTTAAAATTTAAAAATAATAACTTTGATTTTAAGACTGCTTTATACTAATCAGCAGGAGTATACACTTGATTTAAATAACGGCGTTTATATTTTTCAATCATTGCGAAGTCATGATCAGAAGATAGATGCGTATGTCCCACTACTAGATCTATGTTCTATTGTATCAAAGACACTTTCTTTAACTAGTTGTTGTCACAGAGATACAATGGTCCAATTTTTGTTTTGTCCCGCGCAATTATCGCTATATACAACAAACTTCCTATGTTCAGTAGGATTTTTTTTAAAATGCGTATATAATATACTAGAATTTTCGTCAGTTTCACGTTTTGCTAAGTGTTCAGGCCGCGTATACGTATATCCCATATCTTTAACGCAGTCATGTATTTCTAAGTTGTAGGTCCAGATTTTTCGTAAATAAAGAGCAGGACCAACTGTCAATTGGTCAACTTGGTCAAACTTATCTTCAGAATTGTTATTTTGTGGATTTGAGGTAGTTGTAGTGCGTCATTCTTTCTACAGAGGATTGGATGATGTATAGTTGACTATCCTTTTCTTACTAATTATCATAAGCTTTGTCTTCTTAACGTTTATATTGAGTCCATATTGATGACTGTAAAACGTGATAGTGTTCATAAAAACTTGTAGGCCTTCTAAGTTGTCCGCAAATACTATGGTGTCATCTGCATATCTAATGTTGTTTAGCCGGTAACCATTTAGTAGAATATCTCATTGAGTTTCGTGCAAAGCTTTGATAAATATACTTTCAGAGTACAGATTGAAGATTAGAGAAGACAAAATACAGCCTTATTTCACTCCACGTATGATTTTTACATAGTTAGTGTGTTCATCTTCAACTCTGATTTGCTGTCTGATTCCAGTAAAGATTTTTAATTATTTGCAGGTCTTGGTTATTAATTCCTGCTTCTTTTAGTTTTTGCATCATCACATCGCAGTTGACATCTCTGCATCTCTGGAATAAGACTTGTACTGAGAACAAAGCCTCTCTAGGAACAACAGCATTTGTGAACCCGAACTGGTTGAGGGAAATTTGACTTTCACACAGCTTGTATATTCTTTTATGAATTATCTTTAGGACCAATTTTAATCTTCGCATTTTTTTGGCTCCTGATATTTTGAAAGTGCAATAAACTCAGACTTCAGCCATTCTGTTGGTATTTCTCTAGAGTTGTATAATGTTGTTAAATATCTTTGCGATTATTGCTATTGATTCGTTGTACATTAGTTTGAGTAGTTCTGCTTGTATATTATCAGAGCCTGCCGCTTTGGCATCCTTTAACTGTGTTATTGCGGTACTTAGTGCTGTAATATTCTTGGTTCATCATTTACCTCTTTTTCTAGCTCAGAGGTGTTACCTCTTTGGTCTTCAAATAGTTTTTCTAGATATTCTTTTCACGTTCCTATTTTACTCTGTTTATCCAAGATTATGTTTCCGTCACAATCAGTTATATTTCCTTTCTGCCTTCGTCTTAGACCTCCTGTGAGTTTTTTAATTTTCCTATGTACATTGTCACTACTGAACTTTGACCGCAGAGTCTCAATTTCTTTGCATCTTTCCCTTGCTTCTTTTTGGCTTCTCTTCTCTCGTCAATTATTTTCAGGATCTCATCTGTCATCTATGATTTTTCTTCATTAATATATCTGTCTTTAAGTGTTTATCCTTTACATTTTGCACAATTTCTGTAATATGTTTGATCATTTGTTCTTCATTCGATTCGTCACTAATTGCAGTCACTTGCTCGTTTAACGTGGCTTGGACTCTCATCCTCGTATCAAGGTCTTTCAGAATACGTAGATCGTATGATTGTGCTTTCCTTTTCTGCACTGTTTTGAGTTTGACTCGAAACACTCCCACCAGTGGAACGTGGTCTGTCTCCAAGTCTGCTCCAGGATAAGTTTTGATAGATGTAAAGTTGTTTCGGAATCTTTTATTTTCTAAAATATAGTCTATTTGATTCCTAATAATTATCCTGGGTCGTCTGTCTTGAGGGGATTTTCACGTGTACAGCTTGCGAGGTGGTAATTGGAAGAATGTGTTGGTGACAACTAGTTCTGGGTCTTCTGCGAATTTTTCTAGGAGGTCTCCTCTCTTGTTTTTGACTCCAGTTCCATGTGCTCCAATGTACTGTGTCTTATCTCCAGCTCCAATTTTGGCAATAAAATCGCCCATAATGATGAGAACTTCCTGTCGAGGAATTTTCTGTATAATACTGTTGATGTTCTGATAGAACTCAATTGCCTCTTCCTCCTCTTTGTCTGCAGTGGGAGCATAGACTTGGATGATGTTTATATTAATAGGGTTGGCTTCTACTTGTAGTAATTAGATATTTCTAGATTATTCTGAGAAAAAGTTTTTATTTAAAAAATGCGCAACTAATACCAATCAACATATCCGAGCGTTTTTTTTAATAAAGCCCCAATTTATTTATTATCAAATTTATTTAATTTACCAGTTCCACTCTGTATATCTGCAAATGTAAGATATTCTTGATACTGATTTACTATTCAATAAGTAAATCATATTTTGCAATTAATTTTTTAGTTTGGTTTCTCTTAAAATGTCTTCAGCGTATCGCAAATAACTTATATACCTTCTGTATAATCTACAACTTTAAACAACGGCAAATAGTAGTATTTTTAATTTTGAAATTTGGTACAAAGTATAAACCACCTTGTATAACTATGACATAATGACAATGAAAGTAATGAAATCACACTCAAGGAAAAAATATATTTCTCATTATATAATTTAACAGAAACAATACTTGTCTCGCTTGAACAATAAGTAATTCTGTCATTCTAGGGTATTCATTTAACACAATGATTATTATGTTACAGACCTTCACAGCTCTATAAAATTATAAGATGTTTTCAGAAATATTTTTTGGTATGTTTAATTTATAATGATGTGTTCTTTTTAAGTTGAACCAATATCAACAAAACTGTACAAAGAATTAACTTGTTTATTATTAAACTATTATAGCTTTAAAGCATAACTTATTCACAATCATTTTTAAATTAAATACGTTTTAAAAGCACTTAAATTTATTTATAAATTTTAAGACTAACATATACTATTTTTCAGCTCTCTATTAATCCATTGGATCTATCGTCACAAAAATCAAAAGCTTCAGTTGGTAGAACTGCAATCAGACGACCTCCAACACGCCAACGAACGAAGGAACCTCTTCAACCGTCGTCAGATCTCACAGACCATTTACGCAACGCCCACATCACCGCAGCAACTAATCTTCATCGAGTTTCACGACTGTGTCATCAAATACATGAATCAGCGGTAAGACAAGCATTTGGGAGAAGATCACCTCGGCCTACGATATCTGATCGAGAAAGTGGAGATGGTGGTGTCGAAATATACGAAATAGAAAGTGTATCGAGTGAAAACAATAACAGTAATAACATTAATAGTAACACCGTGAATGGACATACTAATCTTGTACGAACAAAAAGCAGCAGTAGTGATGATATAAGTTTAATACCAGAAAAAGATACAAATGGGAATAAGAGTATCGAAGATTTAGAAGATCTAGAGCAACTTCAAACTTGGAGGAGAACATCCAAAATAAGAAGATCTCTACAATTTCCAAAGCAAGCTTCAAAACCATCTAGTCCTAAACCTGTAGATCTGCCAGAAAGTTTAGGCAACGTAAGAAAGATTCGAGAAGAGTTGGAAAAAGGAAGAAGACTGAATACAGCCTTAAGAAATAACAGCGTAGATTTAGATGCTTTAGATCAAATTTTGCAGTCGATTTCGAGCTCCAGTAGTGATAAAGCAAGTGAAGATCAAGACTCGGAGTTATCTAAGAAACAAAAAAGGAATTCGTTTGTTACTGTTGAGTCTATACAAGAAATCAAAGGAAGGTTAAGGAAAACTAGTTCACCAACTAATGACATTTATAAGGTAATTATATTTTTATAATAACCTCCTTGTGAGCTCATATTCATCATATGCATTTATTTTTTGACTTTCGTATTATCTGTCCTATGTTTATTTGCATGTTTCGCCTGGACAGTTCTTATGGTTCTGATTTCGGTTATCCTTTGGTTTTCTCTGGTTTGAATAATAATTGTAGATTTAATTTGCAAAAAATCTTATTTTCTGAAAAGTTTTAGTACCTACTGTACAGTGTCGATTGAGTCTAGACATTGATTCGATAGGTACTTAAACTTTTTTCTTGCTCAGCGATGGCTTTTTCGCTGAACTTTTTCGTTCCTAACTGCGCGACCTATTACTGTTTTAGACCACTTTTCAGCACTTCCTTTTTATCCATGGAAATATGGTTATAACACGATCCGGTTAAATAGTTTCCTGATGGCTGAGCTACGTGGTTCTTGTTTGCTTTGTTTGTTCTTGGTTTGTTTCTGTCTCATGAAAAGCTAGAGACTGGGTAGTGAATGGCGGCAGACCCCGCATGCTAGTTAAACCTATGTTTCCCCTGAGGTTTCTCAATGATTGTGCTTTGCTTTTAAAAATTATGACATGATATAATATAATATGAGATGATATAATATAATAAATGTGTACGTAAACTATTCGGCGTTTACATAAGCTATAAATACCCACAGCACGACGCGAATAATCATTTTTGCCCATGTTCAGTTATTATCGGTATTAAAGTTTTGCACAATTTTCGAAGAACATTTTTACTTACATTAAGCTATGTTTACCCACAACGCATTCTGGATATTTCGCTGCTGCCAATGTCTGAATAAAATACTCATGCATTATGGTCCCCCTAATATCAACACACTTTTCCCATCGGGGCTCCAATATTTCGATAATATCCTGGAAGAAAGTTTCGACTATGTCAAACGATTCATTTGCATCACATCACTTTATCATTGGCCGAAATTGTTTCTCCAATGTCTCCTTTGATTTTTGGGAATAGGCTGTATTCACTGTGTGCCAAATACTGGGTACAACTAAGGACTTGTGTGTTAATAGCAGACCTTTCCTTAATTTTCCCCGTCTCTTCTTTACTTACGAGTTAGGGTTTAACCCCTATGCTTCCACTGAATTTTTGTCCCCAAACCATAATGCTGTTCCTGGTTCGTCCATTGTTGCGTACCGATCAATAAAGTTATTTTTTTCCATGTAAAAGGTATCCAAAATTTAAGGACAAATGTATCCTTTCTGGCATACCTCTGATCAGCTGAAAGCATACGGTAAACCCATCTTGCTGTTAGTTTACTCATTGCTAAAAGATTAGATGTAATTTGAACTGCATGAAATAAAAAGAGTGTTTCCTTTAGAATTTCACGAAAAGAGATCTTTCGATCCCTCGACTTTTCTGACATTTTCTTCGATTCTGAGGGTAATTGAGGTCTTCCACCTTATTACGCTGTATTCAAAGATTTTCTATAATTTGACACATGAGTATCACTATTATATTGTAAATAAATGTTTCATTATATAATATATATATATATATATATATATATATATATATATATATATATATATATATATATATATACTGTTTTTATAAATAATTCATTAATTTTAATTTAATTGTTTGTTAATTTTAGGTTAATGGTAAAGACGATGATCCTGATGACGGTATAGTAACAGAAGAAACATCTCGCATAAAAGAAAACGAAATGCCTTTAGTCGAAAATTCCCGAGTGCGTTCGTACGTATACGGGATGGAAGCCTTACTTAACAAAAAGCCCGGTATAGGTACTGGCAGTCTGGAGTCCCGAGTAAAACTAATACCTACTAACAAAAACGAAGACTGGTACAATCGAAGAAAATCGTACGGATTTGAAAAAGTCCACAACCACAACGACTCACAAAGCTCAATTTCATTGAAGAACAAAAATTTTGTAGAGAGTTCCACGGATAGTGGGATTTGTAGATCTACAGAAATTGTTGTTCCCGTTAAGAAAAACGGTTTTAAAGAAAATGAATATAGTTCAGATGAACAAAACGATTTTGAACAGAAGTATAACGAATATGATAACAGCAGTAAACATCAACTTGGACAGGTATGTTTTTGCTTTTTGTTTTTAGACATTTTTGACAGCTGTTCATTCATATTCAGGAGTTTTCCGTATAATTCTCTTTGACGTGTTTCTACTACTATGTTATCTTTATTAAATTAATCAATTTAGTATTAATTGATATTCAGGTACTATTCTAATGATTTAAATTCCTTTCTTTTATTTATAACTAATTAATATTAAACGTACTATTTTTGAGTACGTAGTATCTATCACTTTCTTGTCAGTTGTCCAACACTTAATTAAAACTTAATACAACAAAACACGTATTGTTAAATATTTAATACATTATAAAATAATTAAAATTACATTGCCTCCATCCAAATGTTTAGTAAAGACTTAATTAACACTGTAATACTTCTTCCTATCATTCACTCGTCTTTAGAATAATCTCAGCTTTCACTGATATAATATCACAAATATTACTTGCCTTAATTGCATTTGCATATAATTATTTGATTGACTTACACAAGACTTGTTTGACTTGCAACGATGTTGAGTCTCGAAAGAACTATGTTGATTTTAGAAAACCATGTGAGAACCTATCGCTTTTTGCTCCGGGTTTAATGAATGTTATGCATTGCGAATTGGTTTTTCTTGTTCGCTTGTACGTTTAACCTCTTCGTATATACATGAACTTGTATGGTTTGATGTATGAAGATCTTTAATGACCTTTAAGTAATTGAAGACTGACAGCTATCTACATATAATGCAAAGGTTAAACTGGACTTTGAGAAAACTTTTTATATACTATGATATTTCTTTTATTGTCATAATATAATTGTTTGTGCAATGTAAACACAAAAAATAAAGTGTGCATATCAATTTCTCCCAGGTCTGAGGAAATGTGATAATAATATCTTTAACTATGTTATTTAAACTGCTAAAATTAATATTGACTAGTATGTGGATAAAAAATATATAATCAGTAAGGAGCATCAAGTCTTTAGATCAAAATATGTCATCAATAGAGGCTATATTCGTATGCAAATACATTATAGAGGCTTCTAAGAGAGCGAATAGACACAGTGATTGAAGAGTCAGGCTGGCTGTCATCCAGACAGTACAGTTTCAGAAAGAACAGGAGCACGATGGCTTTGCTGATGGAAGTCTTTTGTGGTGGGCAATTTTACTGTTGTTTGACGTCCGGAATGTTTTTAACACACTAAAATGGAAACAAGTAATAAAGGCTTTACGAGAGAGAAGGTGTCCGTCCTAGGACCCACGCTGTGGAACTTGACATATGATCATTGACATCATATTGTTGAGCCAACAACAATACGAAGAGGGTAAAACCCCTTTCGCATTTGAGGACAACCTTACTATACTGGTAGTGGCACGAAATAGGGAGGACCTTATCTGTGGTGCACAGCGTACATGCAACCAATTCGAAAAATGGATGATGATTCCAAACAAATTCGTAAGGTATTTAGGGATGACTCTGAGTAAAAACAGAAAGTGGAGGCAGTGCGCAAAGAGGGTGACTCAAAGAGCTGCGGTGAGATCCGCCGCATTGGGAAGATCATGCCTAACATAGAATGGCCCAAAACTGAGAGGAGCAGGCCTTTCATTCTGTTGTGCAATTGATCGTCCTCTACGCTGCTCCTGTCTGGAGTACTGCAGTTTTAAGAAAGTGTTTTAAGAAACAGGAAGCAGCTTATCCGAGCAGGAAGAGTTTATTGAAGGTGGTATGTGCATACAGTACAGACTTGCCGAGGCAGTGGAAGTTATCACCCGTACAAGCTGCTGCTACCTGGTACACGAATGGCTCAAAAACATCGGAGGGTGTGGGAGCCAGCATAGTAGGGACAAATCAAGGGATACATTTGTGGGTCTATCTAAGGATGTGACAGTTTTCCAGGTGGAAATAACGTCAATCGATCACTGCGTGGAAGAAATAGAAACAGCTGCATAGAAGGTACAGTCTTGAAGCTATAAGATTTTTTAAAAAGGGTCAGGCTAGCGAATTTTATCTAGAACTAGAGGACCACAATAGATCTTAAAAGGTCGCAGTGTAATAAGCCAGAAGGCTACCTCCCTTAATCTATCTATCTAAGTATTGGATTAACTAATAATCATGATAATTCACACTCATTGAAAAAAAGCAAAATTTAAAGTGACACACAAAATTTTGATAGTATCATAAAGGGAATAAAAGAAACGACGAATCCATTTGATGATGCAATTGATCACCAACAGTTTTGACTGCCAAAGCTACATTCAAAAAAGTTGCCTATCCAAAGAAACTGGCAGCCATTAAAAATTAAAGTTTATTTTAAATTTCTCTTCAACTTCTGGAAGATTTGGGAAACCTATAAAACGTAACAAAATCATCAATTTTGCTTATCAAAACATCACAAAAGTTCTCATGACTAAAGATAAAAATAAGAAGGTATTGATGAAAATGGAATGAAATATGTTCGGATGACTTCTGGCAGTTAGCGTACAAAAGAAAATCTTGAATATTGCTTGACTTTTCCACTCGTACCCATGCCACCTGCAGTTTTTCCATGTACTGGTGAAATGTTGAAAACTCGTAAATCAACATTTGCGAAAACTTTGAAATCGAAATGGTTAAGCTCACATTTATTAACGGGGAAATAATACATGGCTTTTATTGCTTACACCTCATTGACAACTCTATGCCACAAACATTCAAAAAAATTGCAGAGTCAATACTAATAAAAATTTGTTTTATAAATGCTGTAGAAATCTTTTCAATATTTGACCGCTATTTGTTACCCTTAATTAAAGATTTTAAATATCAAGCTGGAAAGAAATTCAATAATCCATATAAAATGTCAGGACCTCAACAAGTTAGGGCTAAAGATTTTTTGCAAAGCCTTAAAACTACCCTTTTAAAGAGGCACAGGTACGTTTTTGGACTGATTATTGGGATAGTAAAAATTTGCTTACCATAATTATCCTAAGTAAAAAAATATTTCATCGTTAGAAATCAGATAGACTTCATAACAATTAACAAACGATAACGCAATAATATCAGCCGTAACGCAATAATATCAGCCAAAACATATCCTGGAGCTGATATAAACTCTGATCATAATCCTCTTGTAGCCCAATTACGAGTAAGACTAAAAACCATAATCCAGAAACAGAATAACAAAAGATTAGATATGGATCAACTTAGAAATCCTGAGATAAAAGCCAAGCTTACAAATAGCATTAATAGTAATGTTGCTTTAACAACCAACACTGATGATATTGAAAGAGAATGGATCAACTTAAGGGACGCTATATGCAACGGTGCAAAAGAAGTAATTGGTGACTCCGAGCGGAAGAAGAAGAACGAGTGGATGACAGATGAAATATTACACCTTATGGACAGAAGGAGGGAAAATAAGAATAATCCCGAACAATATAAAGAACTGGATAGAACTGTCAGCAGAAAGATAAAAGAATCCAAAGAGAAATGGTTGCAAGAAAAATGTCAAGAGATAAAAGAGCTAGAACGAAGACACGATAGTTTTAACATGCATAAAAAAATCAAGGAGTTTACTTATACTTACAAGAAAAAACAGTTTGGTAGGTTAATAGACGAGAACAATAAACTTATGGTACATAAAGAAGAACAGTTACAGACTTGGCAATCTACATAAAAGATTTGTTTACGGATTATCGTCATATTTCTACGAACACTCTTGATCTGAATGGACCAAAAATATTGAAAAGTGAGGTGATAAAAGCTATTGATCAAACGAAAGATGGCAAAGCAACAGGATGCGATGAAATACCAGTCGAATTCTTAAAAGTTTTTAACGAGAACAACCTGAATGTAGTATTGGAACTGTTTAATAAGATATACGATACTGGTCAAATTCCATCGGACTGGTTGAAATCTACATTTGTGTCCCTTCCCAAGAAATATAATTCTAAGACGTGTAGTGAATATCGCCTTATAAGTTTAATGAGCCACACCCTTAAAGTATTTTTGCGTATTATCCATTCCAGAATACGAGCAAAATTAGAACACAGCATAAGTAAAACACAGTTCGGTTTTAGATGCGGTTTTGGAACTCGAGAACCCCTCTTTGCAATACAAGTTTTGATTCAAAAATGCCTGGATCAACAGAAAGATGTTTACGTCTGTTTTATCGACTACGAGAAAGCATTCGATGCTATCAAACATGACAAACTCATAGAACTATTACGTCTTTCAGGACTTGACACTAAGGACATCCAGATTATAAAAAATCTATATTGGAATCAAACAGCCCACATGAAGAATGGACATATGGTGAGTGAAAACATAACCATTTCTAGAGGGGTAAGACAGGGCTGTATTCTTTCGCCACTGCTTTTCAACCTGTACACGGAACAAATATTTCTAGAGGCACTAGAAGAGTACAATGAGGGCATCAAGATTAGTGGCGTACCAATAAGTAATTTTCGATATGCAGATGATACTATTATACTGGCCGATAACATCGAAGATTTACAGATGATGCTACATAGAGTTAATACAACCGGCAGCCGATTTGGACTGAAGATCAATAGAAAGAAAACTAAATTTATGGTGATCAGTAAAAAAAAATTTAAACATATCGACGTGCATATTGAAGACGAACGTATTGAAAGAGTACACCGATTTAAATATCTGGAATATACAGTAAATGACAAGTGGGACCCAGAAGTAGAGATTAAGATCCGAATTGAAATAGCAAGATCCAAATTCATCAAAATGAGAAAGCTCTTAAGCAACCGCAACCTAAGCATTAACCTCCGATGTCGCGCCACGAAATGCTACGTACTCTCTACGCTACTTTACGGCGTAGAAGGGTGGACGTTAACAGCAGCAACTATAAAGAAGTTAGCGGCTCTAGAAATGTGGCTGTATCGACGCATACTGAGAATACCTTGGACCGACAGAGTGACCAACACAGAGGTATTAAGACGAATGGGTAAAGAGGTGGAATTGTTAACAACTGTTAAAAGGAGGAAAGCGTCATACCTGGGCCATGTGTTCCGTAATGATAAGTACAGCCTGCTACAGCTTATCGTGGAAGGCAAGATTGAAGGTAGAAGAGGTTTGGGCAGAAAGAAGAAATCATGGCTGAGAAACCTGAGAGAATGGTTTTAAATACCAGAAGCTGCGAACATAATTCATGCGGCACAAAACAGAGAAACCTATCGTATGATGGTCGCCAACCTTCGGTAGAAGACGGCACATAAAGAAGAAGAAAAAAATATTTTTAACCATTGATCATTAACTCGTATCAAGCTTACAATAATTACATTGAAAAAACTGTAGAAGCTGATTTTCATGTTACCACGAAAAACCGGTTACGCGGATTGTTTTTCACTCTTATAAAATTGCACCTGAATCAAGTATCTTAATAATTAGAGCTTCGTATACTGATGTTTTGGTGACTTTGCTGAAAAATGTGCACAAAATTTTACAAAGCGCAATTTGGCTAGCCTCTTCAGCAACTAAAAAGTTCCATAACCAACACCTTGATTGACAATTTTATGAAAACTTATGCTGCGAAAGAAGACAACGAATTTTTTTTTAATTTAAAGTTTGGCTGCATTACTAGACCACCATGCTGGAAATCTTTGCAACAAAAAATGTTAAGAACTATTTTTGTTAATTTCATGTAACTTATTGCAACTGGGTCGAAATGTACAAAACTCCAGCTTCGAAATGCACGAAATTCTTGAAATGATGGAAGATGATGGCGAATGTAGCGAAGCCAATAATGAAAATATTAGATCCGATGAATCAAACGTAGAATAAAAATAACTAATTGGAATCAAAGCATTATAAATGTAATATTTATATTGATTGTTTAAAATAATAAAATTTTTATACTGAATAAAATCTTTAAAGTCATGTTTCCAATCTTAATTAATTATTACAAAATTATAACGGGTACTCCTTGTTTTTTATAATTTTTAACATACTAAAATACCTATCAAATAATTTTTATTCATTAAACAGATCGGTGAAGGTTTCTTTTATATCGGATCTTAGACTACCGGATTTTTCTATGCAGAGTATGATAATTTGTTCTGACTATATATAATTCCTTATTTGTTATATCTATTGTCTTTTATAACAGTGCTCTCTTAATTGTTTGTTAATATGTTTAGTCAATTAAAGATTTAATCGCTTATTTAATCTGAATATAATAATCTAATACTGAAATATTTATCTTGACAGGTTAAGAGAATAGCAAGTTCATTTAACCAAGAAGACTCTTCACCAACGAACAAAAACGAAAACTGGAAGAAAAACCTTTTCGACTGGCCAAACTCATCGACTGAATTGAAATCTACTACAATAACGATCCCAATTTCCAAAAACAACAATATAGTGGATTTGTCGTGGAACGATACGGATAGAGAACAGCTCAAGGACATCAAACGCCATTCTATTGCTGTCGATGAATCCAAATATGTAACAAAAAATAACAATAATAATAGCTTTCGACGTATTAGTTTAGCGTTAAACGACCAGGTTAGGCCAGATGATGACGAAAATAATATGCGGAAAACGAAAAAAGTTGAATTTTGCAAGACAGAAGTGCATTTCGCTGCTGAGTCTGGAAAAGTAAATATAGTAGCCACTGATGAAAAGCCACCGCCTACTCAGAACTTTAGGAGACGGCGTAGGAATTCAGGACCTACTATGGATGATTTTAACAAAAATGGATTGCCAGTAAGTTTTTTAATATTACTTTAATAGTAAGTTCGAAATAGATTAATCTGAATGTTTATACAAATTTAAATTTATTCGTTAAATAATAGTCTTCTCAAAATAATAATGATTTTATATAATTCTCCTGATGTGTATATTTAACAAAAGCTTGCAAAAGAAGGCCAAATTAGCTGTAATAAAGTCCTAGAATAAACTTGACATCAAAGAGATCACAAGAAAAATATAAAATGGGTGGGCATAGAGTATGGGAGAACGGGGAATTCCGCGCAGTGGGTAATTCCGAGCAATAAAGTTACCTGTTAACTTTATTGCTAAGACTAGTTAACTAACTTTTCAAAAATATACTTAGAGAAAGCCTTGACTACATGGAAAAGAGAATGCGAAGGCATGGGAGTACCGGTACCGGAAGACCAAAACGACCTCAGCTACATGATGTACAAACTACAAGACGAATATACCAAGGCTGACCTAGATATTAACCTCGCGAAAACAGAGTACCTATCTACAAGTGAAGAAGACATAGAAGATCTACAGATTTATCACAACGTAACAATCAAAGAAAAGGATAAATTTAAATACTTGGATTTCTAATCACGAAAATGGCATCAACAGAGGAAGAAATTACGCAAAGATTAGGACAAACAAGAACAGCAATCCGACAACTTAACTATGGTGTGATAGACTCTTAAATAGACAAAAAGCACTGATTTATATATATATATATATATATATATATATATATATATATATATATATATATATATCTTGTGCAATCGGAGTAGGGTGATTAATTTCACGTAACAAGGATTTATCTCCATATAAAATGTATAGTAGTATGTAAAATTTTAGAAGTAATACGAAGAATAGGAAAAGACCCAGAGATTTTGTTAACGCTAAAGCGAAGAAAACTCGAATATTTTGGTCACCTGATGAGAGGACATAAATACGCATTACTTTAAAATATAATGCAGGGAAAAATAGAAGGAAAACGGAATCCAGGCCGTAGAAGAATGTCATGGTTGCGGAATTTGAGAGAGTGGTTTGGCTGCACCACTAATGAACTCTTTAGGTCAGCCGTAAACAAGGTCAGAATAGCCTTGATTATTTCCAATCTCCGATAGGAGTGGCACAAAAAGAAGAAGAAAATTTTAGATACCAAGAGCTTAGCATAGATAAAGCAATAAATCCAGCTGTGAAGAATGTCAATTAATATCTGCAATGAAAAATAATGGGAGATGGCCGATTTTTTTTATACCTGAATCGACATTACAGGATCAAATGAAAATAGCAGATCCAAAAAAGGAAAGCTGAGCCGCAAGCCTGTATTTTCAGAAAAAAGAGGCAGCAGAATTGATGGAGTACATTTTAAAATTATCCAAAATGTTTTTGGATTATCTCCGGATAAACTTTTAAGACTTGTGTTCACCTACGCCGAGAAAAAAAAACGGCAGGCATGTATTAATTAGCACTATTCATGAATCAAAATCCCCAAATAGAGTTACCGCATTCAACTTGAAAGAAGCAAAATTGTTTTTAATAATGTTGAAACTGTGATGAATAAATATAAATTTACGCAAGACCATATATATACATAACACTGATGAGACCAGTATTACCACTGTACAAAGTCCAGTAAAAATTTTGAGAGAAAAATGCCAAACACGAGTATCTAGGTTCAGTAACTATTCTTTGTGCATTCAGTACTTGTCGGTCTTTTATACCACCAATGTTTATTTTCCTAATGAAAATAATGACTAAATAACTTCAAAGGAATGGCTCAGCAGGTGCTTTCCATAGATGTTCAGATAATGGCTGCATAAACGAAGCGTTATCTACCGAGTGACTAAAACATTTTCAACGCCAGGCAAAGCCATCCAAATAAGAACCGATACTCTTGATTTTAGACAATAATTCCAGCCATATATTATTAGCATCATAATATGATTTGTGCAAAAACAATGGCATTTTGTTGGTGTCTATATCTCTCCATATCTCCGATAGGCTACAGCCCTTAGCTTCCGCATTTTATGATCCTCTTAAAAAAGCCGATAAGAAACAGTGTTACATATACATTAGAACTATTCAGTTTGAAAAAATAAATCACTATAAATTAGCTGAAATATTTATCTTAGGTTATTTAAACGTGGCTACAATGGATAAAGCCATTTCTGATTTTAAAGCTGTGGGCATTTTTTCGTTCGATTCAAATAAATTCCATGATGAATTAGGTAAGTCACATGATGAATTAGCCTTAGTTTTATCAGAAGAACATGTTTAACGAAATATAATCGGTAAAGAAGGTGAAGATGTCAGTGTGTTTCCAGCGAGTCCATCTTAAATTTATTTTTAATCATTATTTACTGGTTATACTGGGTATACGTCGGTCAGATAGCTCAGCGTGCTGTGCGGCTGCCTCTCATTCGCTTCACTGTCGAATGGTTTAGTGGATGTGGGTCGAGCCCCAGCTCGGTGTACTGAAAAACAAAAAGTCTAACGCAGCAGTTTAAAATTCTAGATGAATCTGCGGCTTAGACTAGGATATGCTGGGATCTGATGGGCCTATGGTGGAGCAGTACGGCAAGAGATAAGGGCTTGCGGCTTGGTGATGCTCCTCCATAGATCCCTACCGGACGGGCGTAACGCCTAAAAAACCGGATATATATATATATATATATATATATATATATATATATATATATATATATATATATTTACTGGTTATTCTCAGTCATTTTCCAAAAATCCTAGACAGACAGCTTAGCCGATATCTCCTCTAACCTCTGGTAAACATGTTCTTCAGTCTAAATGTTCGTCTGTAACTTTTGGTATCTCAATTGAAGAAATAGCTCCTTTTGGGGATATAACCAAGTTACAATGAATAAAGAAATCAAATAATATATTTTCCTCCATATTCTCATTAAAATCAATATTTACTGATTATCCACTTGTTCAGGGTATACACGACATATACCAATCTCTTCATGCTCTAGAAACAAAAGTCTCACTTATCTGGTTTCCGTCACACATTGGCCTTATCGGTAACGAAACTGCTGATCGCCATGCTAAAGATGGGTTTCCATGTATTCCTCTGGATTATTTTTACAGCTCGATGATCTGGCATTCTTTCTAATTGGCCAAGCCAGTTTAGTGTTTGTGACTTGTGACAAATCTAACAATATCTATAGTTCATAGTTCATTTTTTTTGTCCACACATCATCACTACAATAGGTTGGTCTAAATATATTTCTTATTTTTTTTGAGATTTTACTCTTAAACATTCTCAATTGATTTTCATCAGTAGTTGAAAGGATCCACGTCCCTAGATAAAGTTACATTTTTTAATTGTAGCATTATTTTAGTATTTAACTTTATTTTCTTCTATTTTTAGTTGCTACATTTCGGAGATACTACATTCGAAAAGCCACTTTTTTCCAACTCAGAAGATTCCCCGACAGATTCGATGTATGAAAACCTACAAGCTCGAATTCCCACGAACTACGGACTTGTGACAGTTAACTCAAATAACGCCATAACCAACGAAATATCTGAAGAAGACAAAAAAGAATTAACCGATAGTGAAATAAAAGGGATATTGAAAAATAAACCCAGTAAGCCGAAGCCTTATCATCTTGGAGAGACAGTTCCGTTTGGAGAGAATATGTCTGATGAGGACAGCAAATGGGGAGTTAGATTGAGACACATAGAAAAACCCGAAGTTCCTATATGGAAGTCAACTGTGACTGTGCATAATTATAATTTTGTTAATCAAGTAAGTTTTTAGTTGTATTTAATTAAAATCCCTAATAGTTTTTCTTCAATTAGCAATCTAAGTATCTAATAAAAAATCATAAAATAAGCAAACAACTATGTTTTCCATAACTAAGCCAAACGCAGAAAATCTAGATAAACATTTATAATATAATAATTATGGAATAACATTTACAATTTTGCAAAAATTTTGGGATAATAGTTAAATAACTAAAACCAAAAAGAGAAAAGAAGCAAGAATGGATGACAGATAAAATATTGCAGATGATGGAAGAGCGAAGAAAATTAAAAGGTAGAAATTATAACGAATACAAAAAGTTACATGAGACTATAATAAAGGAGATAAAAGGAGCAAAAAAAGCATGGCTGACGGAGAAATCAATAGAAGTTGAAACTCTACAACGCAAACATGACGATTTCCATATGCACAAAAAAAATGAAAGAGGTACAGAATACCAGAAAACAACGCAATACAGGCATAGTTGTAGACATTGAAGGCCAAATTTTGACTATAATTTGAAGATAAATTACGAAAATGGAAAGAATACATGCAAGAATTATTTGAAGATACAGCACGAAGTCCGACTGAAATAAACAATCCCTACGGAGCAGAAGTTAAGCTAGTACTAGATAATACAGAAATTGAACAATTATCTTCGTACAAATACCTTGGAGCATGGATCACAGAAGATACTGATCAGACAAAAGAAATAAGATGCCGCATTGAAATTGCGCGGTCAACTTTTAATAGAATGGGAAAACTTTTTTGTAGTCGCGATATCAATATATCGCTCCGGATAAGAATGCTTTGATGTTATATATTCTCTACCCTTTTGTATAGAGTTGAAGCTTGGACACTTAAAAATCCAACATTAAAAACCTAGAAGCATTCGAAATGTGGTGTTACCGACGTATTTTGAAAATATCATGGATGGATCGCAAAACAAACGAACAAGTTCTCGAACATTTAGGAAAACAATGCGAAGTTTTAAATTCCATAAAAATCAGGAAATTGGAATACTTGGGGCACATGATGAGAGGTGAAAAGTACGAACTACTAAGGAATATAATGCAGGGTAAAATCAAAGGTAGAAGAAGCGTAGGAAGACGTAAAATCTCGTGGCTACGCAATCTCCATGAATGGTTTGGATGCAGTTCAATTAAACTATTCAGGCGAGTAACCAATAAAATTATAATTGCCAGAATGATTTCCAATCTCCGATAGAAGTGGAACTTGAAGAAGAAGTAGAACGGAGCAGAAATAACAAACGAAAAAGTAACTATTGCCGTTAAGCGGATTAAAGATCGTAAATTACCAGGACCTGATGAGGTGCATGGTGAAATTTTAAAGCTATTATAGTCACACCAAATCACAGCTCTTATGAAGCTATTCCACAAGATCTGCGAGAATGGTTACTTACCAAAAGACTGGCTACTATCAGTATTCATTCATTCCACTTCTTCAAAAAGACAACGCTAGAAAATGTGAAGAAAATATATTAATCAGTTTGGTGAGCCATGTTCTTAAAGTACTTCTTACTATTATTCACTCACGCATATACATCCAATTAGAAGAACACGAGACTAAAGTTCAATTTGTATTCAGATCAAGACTCAGAACGAGGAAAGCACTTTATAGTTTGCAAGTTCTAAGACAGAGAGCCAGAGAAGTCAACTGCGATGTGTATGTATGTTTCATTGATTTCGAGAAGGCATAAGATTGATCTGAAAGTTATATCTGCAACAAAAAGCAACAGTATGATTAGAAAATGAACTATCCAAGATCTTCATAGTCGAAAAAGGAGCTAGACAGGGTTGCATATTGTCACCGGCATTATTTAACATATACTCTGAAAATATCTTTAGAGAGACCTTGGACGAATCATAAGATGGGATTGGTGTACCAACTTAAAAACAACATTAGATATGCAGACAATACAGTATTGCTGGCAGATAGTGCGCAGGGGCTTCAAAGGATGATGGATAACGTTGTAAAATCATGTAACAGATACGGTCTAAAACTAAATTGCAAGAAGGCACAAATAATGATCATTAGTAAGAACACCAGCATAAACGCCCAAATTACAATTAACGATACACCGTTAGACAGAGTGGAAAAAATATGCTATTTGCTACGAAGCTAAAGCTACTAAAGCTACGAAGAGCTTTTGAAGGCTTTTAACAACCTTAGGAAGATTCTTTGCAACTTATCTTTAAGTATTAATATACGCATAAGAATTCTTAGATATTACATCTTTAGTGTCCTCCTCTATGGAGTAAAAAGCTGGAGCCTTTCAGAAGATGCCATAAAACGATGGGAGGCATTTAAAATGTGGTGCTACCGTCGTATGTTGAGAGTACACACCATATATATACACCACATAAGTAACATAACTATTCTCTAGAGGCTAAGAAAAGACAAAGAAATTATTAACACTTTAAAAAACAGAAAATTGGGTTACTTCGGCCACGTCATGCGTAATGATAAATATCGACTTCTACAGTTGATTCTACAGGGCAAGATGTAGAGACTCTGGATGTAGACGTCTAACGTCAACTGATCTATTTCGAGCTGCTGTGAATAGAATAAGATGGGTCAATGTGTGGCCAACATCTCTAGAAGATAGGCATATTTAAAAGAAGAACAATTACACTAACACAGTAAAGCTACGGTTTGTTAGAACAGTGCGCAGTGCACAGCAGAATCTGTTGTACTCGACTTACGGCAGTTTTGGGTGTTAGATTATTTCGCATAAAATATTCTGTCGCTCTAAAAACAAGTTTAGAAATTAGTTTCTAAACTTGTATACTCTCAAGTAGAGAAGAAAGAAGAAGAGTTAATAACGTTAAATTTAAATAAAAGAAATAAAAATGTAAACGAATTATTTTCATGGCTTAATACAGAAGGTGCTTTTAAATTAAAAGTTGAAGAAAGATTGTTTCAAAACGAGGAAAAATTTCGAGAATATTTTAGACTTTCCAGGGATTTATTTGGAACTGCCTTACAATTTGTACTAGATCCACTAGTCTTTTATCTTCCTTGGGAGAAAATTTAATAGACATCACTTAATTATTACAATATTAATAACTATATAAAAATACAATTATAATTTCGGTATAGATGTGTACGCTGTCAGCTCAGCTGAACGTTTGCGTCCAAATCAAATCGCAGTTGATTCCAGCGCACACCGTCGACGTACACGGCTATCGGTCTGCAGTGCATGAGATCAGCAGAACCTTAACAAACCGTTATCATAGAAAACCATTTTGATGAACGTGCGCGGCGTTCGACTGACTGTGAGTTATGCGTCGCTCACTGTTCTAACAAACCATAGCTTAAAGTTAAATTTTATTCCAAACCGTAAATTTTGCTATATTGGAAACATGAATTTTGACGACAAATTGCATCAAAATAGCATGAAAAATAAAACACGTTCAAATTTTTCGTCTATAGCTCAGGTATTGCTTGTAAATATCGCGTGGGCATGTGCAGTTGCATAATCTGTCTTGCATAACTCTTGTCTAACATGAAAATTGCATAATGTAAAGTCGACTTAATAAGTATTTGAGCAAAGCTTTTGAAGTTACATATCAATCGAAAAATAGAAGTCAAGATAGGACTGGAAAAACACTAACATTCGTGATTGAGTAAGAAAAGAAATTGGACTGATTTGGACTGACATTCACTATATAAAACTGCACAAAATAGACATTACTTTTCTGATATTGTTGCCAACAGTCAACTAAGATGGTAACAAAACAAAGTTAAACAAGTTATATTTACTAGCACAAAGGGCTTAAATTGTTAGGTTAATCAAAATTACGCCAGAAATTCTGAAAATTTTAAGTGTTCGCTAATTTTGTACATAATGTACATTAGGTAATATATTATTCAAATAAGTTGTAAAATGGTTTTAGTTGTAAGAATTTAAAAAGTATATCGAGTACTGTGAATAATCTGTATCAATTATTTATTTAAAAAAATGTTTTAAGGAAAAAGAAAACGAACCTGAATTTCAAAAACTCCTGAAAAACCTACGACCGACTCGAAAAACTGATTACACGAGTGACAGCGAGACGAAATATTTCGACGGGCTCAATATTACTAACATCAATAACAGTATTAATGGTAGAGCTCCTTCTTGGCCCACTCCTGAAAAAATCGAACCTTCAAAAGAAGTGAAAGGGATGGAAATTAAGGGGTATTCTACCAAGATTTGTTTAAGGGAAGGAGAGGCGATGGTGGTCGAGAGCGACGGGTACGAAAGAGAAAAGCCATCCATTAGACCTCGCATAGAGAATTTGAGGAAAGGTAAGTTTGGATTCGTATGTTATTTTGAATGTAAGTGCATGCTTAGGAAATGATTTACTAATTTTCTGTAGTTTGTCTTATGTAGATAGCCACTTATTAGACGTAAGCGCTTGTATAAAAGTCAAAAATATAAATTATGGTAGTTTTTAGTATATGCATTACCATACTGAGCCTACGTAGTAGTTTGAACCCAATAATAACCATCAGTTAAATTTCCGAAGTGAGTGTACAGTTTTTTACATAATTAAAATAACTTTTTTAAAGTGGTAGAAAAAATCCGACTTTATTTATAACAAGGAATTTATTTAATACACAAACTACACAAAACGATTATTAGCAGGCAAATTGAACCATCAGTTAGAAGGAAATAAATCCAAAAAGTAGATCTTCGGGAAATCAATAACAACTGTTTATTCGTTCTATTTCATTATTTTTTCTTGTTTAATAATGGCATCTTAGATAAAGTACAATTTATATAAGTTAATTTGAATTGGAGAAAAACCATACAGTGATTTTCGTTATCTAGAAAAACGATAAAGAAGATCTTGGATTTATTCCTTTCTTACAACTTATATATTTTTGACATGAATAAAGACAATGAAAAAGCTTATTTTACTTAAAGTTGTTTTAAAAAAACAAACAAATTCAAAAAAAATAATTTCCATAAACTACCCTTCTTCCACGATGATATTACCTGATGCAGTAGTTGGCCATGTAAGGATGTTTTCTTTCATATTTTTCTCATTTATTGGTATTTTTGCCCTGTATGCTCTGGTAGTAGGCAATGAAGGAATCACCCTATTTTTTTGAAGACCTCTATTTTAGAAAACCATATATTTGTTCTGAAACTGTTACGTAGTCTTTATGGGAAGAAGAATACTTTAAATATCTATATTTGGATAATATAAATGTAGAGGTTGTGTCCACCGATTTACACATTTTGTTGCAATAATTTTTCCAGGTATTTTTAAAGTCGAATATGTCATCTGAAATGATTGTTTTTACCGAAAATCCTCTTGTTTTGGCAGTATCTAGAGATCATTAGAAGATGATGAAGGTAATGTACAGGCGGATTTGGACAAGGTTATTGATGTTTGGAGGGCGTATTGTAAGTCTTTATACGCCAATACGAACCAGATGCCAGCGGACGCCCCGTTTGTACCTGACTGCCAGACCTCCACTTTCCATTCTCCTTCAACAGAGACACACCACACTAGTTTTAAGTCTGAACCTGACATACTTTTTTCCGAGTTGGAATTCGCTTTAAAAAGACTTCAGTTAAACAAAGCAGTAGGATATGATCTCATTACTGCAGACGTCTTGAAGCATCTTCCGGAATGTGGAGTGAAAATATTACATCGATTGTGCAATGAAATATGGCACACAGGCGTCTGGCCTGAGGATTGGAGAAAGACCATAATCATACCTCTTCATACGAAAGGTTCAACAAATAATTGTAACAACTACAGGCTATTAGCTCTAATATCACACGCCAGTAAGGTGATCCTCTACATACTGCAACGGCGTCTAGAAAACTTCATAAGTTGGCAAATAGCACCTGAGCAGGCTGGATTTGTAAAGGGCAGAGGTACTAGAGAACAAATCCTTAATGTACGAAACATCATAGAAAAAGCCAGAGAATACCAGATCCCGATATTTATATGTTTCGTCGATTATACAAAGGCCTTTGATAATGTTAGATGGGACAAACTATGGAACATATTGACGACAATGGGTGTACCTAAACACTTGACTCACCTTATTAGCAAACTGTATCAAGATAACCTGGCATATATTCGAATGGACGGATATCTGTCTGACAAATGCACTTTGGAGAAGGGAGTGCGCCAAGGATGCCTTTTATCTCCCTTATTATTTAACATATATTCGGAGTTCATAATGCGCAGAGTTTTGGATGGTTGGGAGGGAGGAGTAAACCTAGGTGGTGTTAAGATATCTAACTTGCGTTTCGCAGACGACACTACACTTCTAGCCTCTACTCCAGAAGAAAGTACTAGATTATTAAAAAAACTCGAGGTAGAAAGTGCTAAATTTGGACTCATGGTTAACTACAACAAAACCAAAATCATGGTTATTGATCGCCAACAACAGTTTCCTGAAACCCAAACTATTGCGGGATGCGAGGTAGTCTCATCTATGATATATCTTGGAGCTCTAGTTAACAACACAGGCAGTTGTGAATCCGAAATTAGAAGACGCGTTCAACTAGCAAGAGCAGCAATGAGTGAACTAAACGGGGTCTGGCGTGATCGTCACATTACTATGACAAACAAAAAGAGACTCGTTTCAACTCTGGTCTTTTCCATATTTTACTATGCATGCGAGACATGGACAGTCAAAGAATCAGATCGACGACGTATAGACGCCTTTGAAATGTGGACATGGAGACGCCTGCTTCGAATTCCATGGACGGCTCGCCGTACAAATATCTCGGTTCTGGATGAAATTAAACCGGATCAACGTCTCTCCAGTACCGTTTACTCTAGAATTTTAAAGTTCTTTGGCCATATCCATCGAAGTGATCACAAAATGGAGCGGTTGGTGGTCCAAGGAAGGCCTCAGACTCAACGCCAACGCGGAAGATCTCCACAGCGATGGGCGGACATTACTAAAAAGCTTCTCAATAAACAGTATACTGAGGCAATACATATAACTGATGACCGCGACCAGTGGAGAAATATTATCAATCAAACTGTCCGAGCTGCTGAAGCCCAATTATGAACCACAACACATCTACTAAGATGTTAATGACTGTGATGATGATGAGAGATCATTAAATTGTGTTCCTCTGGAAAGTAAATCCTATCCTTCCTCCTGATAAATCTTTTTGCTGTTCCGAAATTTCGATCGCAATGTAAAAACGAATGTCCACGCACAGGAAAGTACTGATAAACTTTATCGAACCGTCCAGTCGAAAACAACATGAACCGAATCAGGATATTGTTTCTAATCTGTCCTCCGCAAGCGTCACTATACACGTGAAGTTCGTTTATAGCAGGATTCATATTCTGGATTGTCTTCCAAATTAGGCTGCATACATCATCAGGTCCACTTTTAGCTTCTTTTTTATGGTACGTGTGAAAATCTGCACCATTTGTTTTCAAATCGTGGACGCAAAACACGTAAAGTTATAGTTTCCTGAGATAGAACATTTCCTGCACTGGTATTTTTGGAAGCGGAAGATTTTGCATGTAGTCGAAAACAATAGCTCCAACATTTTCCTTTTCTTGACATAATCTCAGCACTTCTTGCTGCTTGAGGTAAAACTTTTCAGCTGATCTCAGATGTACTAACTTTTTTACAACTACTACACGCTTGGCGTTTTCATTCAGCGTTTGACTTGTTATTTTAGCCTCAAGTTCTTCACAGGTTGAACAAACGTCAACTTGTGGTCTTCCAAATCTGTATCCATGGTTATCATTTTAGTATTTTCTAAAAAAATTGTATTTACCGATGTTGGCATGTTCGGGATTCTTTTTGCAAAAGAGTTCATGCATTATCTTCACATTAAAGTTAGCATCCAAATATTAAATTAATCTGGTGCTGTAATGTGATTCTTTTATCGGAAATTATCGAATATGATGATTGATCGCAAGAACTACATCGTTATCTAAATTGTTGCCACTATTTAAACGAATACCACGGTGATCCAGGGGTTATTTTCCTTTGGTAATAAGAGAGGTCATTTGTAGCATACAAGATTAAAAAAGCTTGCCTACATAACTCAACTCTTGCAGAATTTGTTTGAATAAAATATCGAAAAGTATTCACACCTTTTGGGATTTTCATTTTTGGATCGTCTTCGAATACCGTTTTTAACATGTACACTGACTAACAGTATTTGATATTGCCGTTACAATACGCCCTGTAGTTGAACTAGTATAGGTTACACCGTGTAAATGATGTAATATTTGTACTTCGTGTTTATATAACTGTTTATTTCGTACACCCTGTTTTCTCTTCCGTGACATCGCCAAATCGCATAAAATATTTATGTTACTGTTTTCACTGCTATTACTATCACTAGTACTAGACATTTTTCTGTTAAAAATATCAACGAACAAAACAAAAACGAAACTTACGTAGATGTTAATAGCAATTTAATTGTATTTTCATCACCACTAGTTACAGCATGTCGCCCTACATTCAATCTAATCGATTCAATCTTAAGTGTGAACAAAGAAAAATAAGTCCGTGATTTATTTCCTTCATAAAACTGTCGCACATTTCGTGTTGGAATATCTCCGTATGATGGGTAATATCTCCGACAGATGGTTCTTGCCTTAAAAGGTATATTTTTGTTAAAAAGTCGTTTCGCCATATTTTAGCGTTTATTCCCTTCTTCTAACTGGTGGTTCAATTGTACGACATGTCTAGAAGCTGTTTTGTGTTATTATACTGGTAGAAATGCGAATAAAAACTTTCTTGTTTCTAAAGAAGGTTGTCAAAAAAAAACTCATGTCATAATTGATATCCAGCAGTAGGGGTTCCTACTCAGTCGCTCTGATAAACTCTGCAAGTACGAAATACGCATAAAAAAATTGTAGAGGCACTATGCGTAAAATGAAATCTTAAATCTTAAGTCTTTTTTATAGCTTTATTTACTCGTATTTTAAGTATCAGAAGCCAGTTCATGAAAGATTCATAATATGGAATGCAATTTTAGATATCCCATATCGGTTCATTCATCGTCTGCTTGCCTTGAAAATTATAGAAGGCACAGCTTAAAGTAAGAATCTGAATTGTGGTTTCGAACAAGTAGAAATCTTCGGATTTTTACTTTTTGTTTTAGATCTTTTTTATTTCAATTTTATGAGCCGCAGTGGTTCAACTATAGTACTTACCGTATTTAATTGTATGTTTTACAGCAAAGCTGTGAATGTTACCTAAAGTAAGTATTGCTAGTATGTAAATATTGGATTACTTTTTGCGTATATTTTAGTACCTTATTCTATTTTTGCATGTAGTAGCATTTTGTA